AGAAATAATCAATTAAACTTATCATTTTCATAAGTAACAATCAACTATTATCATTTTCATAAGTAGTAACACATATAAAATGTACACCGAAAAACCAGAGTATAATAAAGAAACAATTTCCAGCAATGAGGTATTCAAATTAGCTAGACGTTCGAGGGGACCAAAAATATATAACCCCAAAACAAATCGTATGATCGCAATCAACGGGGTAGCATATAATAAATTGATATCTGATGGCTATATGCATTGGGAAGAAAAAAGACTCTTAATTCTGCCGTTTCAGGAAATGTCAACATTGAGAAGACATCTCTCTTTTGTGTCTTATCGTATTTGGGATATTGTTGTCGTCGCAGAAAAAAGTCTTCTCACAAAAATCAATGGGACACTAAGCTTATTAGAAATCCTACTTAAAGCGGACTGGAACGATTTCATTATATGTAATTTGTTAAAATTTTGCTGGAACAGTAAAGAAACAAGAGAATGGCGAGATAATATCCTCATGAAGTTTCTTCATTGTTCCAACTTACTGATCTCTAAATATAGGCCGAATGCCCTATATGATGCGTTTTGTAAAGCGGACGTTCTAAGTCCAGAACACATGCTTGCTATAGCTAAAACACTACAATAAAAAATGAAATATACATCTCATTGATATAGCCTGAGTCTCCACAACTCGAAGCTATATGCACTACGTACATGCGAAGCAAATTTTTTTCGTTATATTCTATGTATTGATAAATTTCAAATCGACGGATGTGTACCATGTACCTGATATATACCGATTATTTTTCCTAGGACCTCCTTAAGCAATGCTATATCCTCCTTGATACCTTCTATATTTTTGATTAACTTATTTCGTAGAGCTACGGATTCTAAAACCTTTGATCGATCTCGTGTCTTGTTCGCGTCCATTTTCTGATAGAATTAAATTAACCACAACCCATTCAATTTTTGGGTATAGCTATACTGACCCGAGATAATTAATTTCGATTTGAAAAAATATTTTCTAAAGAGTATATAACCTAAAGAATTGTTCATAGCCTACTCAAGATATTATAACATTCAACCATGTCAGCCATCGCAACTAAAATCGTCGAAAAATATAACCTTACTCCCGAGATGAGTGTAGTCGAGCTTAGTCAGCATACCTCAGAATTTCTTGAAAAGCTCACAGATGATAGAAAACGGAATCAAGCTCGACGACGACTTCGGGATGGTTTTAAATTTAGCAATGAGTAGGTGAGTATATTAATACCTAATCAGAGAGGCGGTAAAAACAAAACTATAAATATCGTTGAAGGTAATTGTAGAATAGTTATAGCATCATCCCCAAAAAATCTAGAAGAAGAAATTATCAGAGAGATAGCAAAATGAATCTTGCAAAATAGATATGGGATTAGTGAGGATCAAGTAAATGCATTATTTGCTTTGCAAAGCGACTTATGTCGCCTCTCTATCCAGGAAAATGGAAGTAAGACCGTAAATGTTGCGATCTCTAACAAACCCTCGAAAGGGATGGAGGAAGAAACTATCGGGGATATGACACAGCGGATTTTACAGGATAAACTTAGCATTAGAGATGTAAGAGCCGAAGTTTATGCCTTAGCCCTATCCGCATCAAATGCCAATGCTGGTTCATCACGACTTTCGCGTCTTAGAAGAGAATTAAAAATCCTTGGCGCTTTATTCCAAATAATCGAGGCCACGAAATTTTCAGATATTACAGAAGAAGCCAACAAAATCCAGAGTGACAATCTGAAAA